TTTGATTTGATGGTGAGTTTTCTTGTATGAGATGCCAATGCGTCCAAAGGTGAAAGGGTAGAATCAAGTTCAAGTTCTAATTCGATTTGACGACGATTTGATGCAGCTGAATGTGAATGTGATTGTGAAGACATCTCGCTTGAGTGTGAGTATAAATGTGAATGTGAGTTGGTTTGTTTGTTTGTTTGTTTATTTATTTTATTGATTTGATTGATTGAATGAGTGAATTGGATTATAAGATGATTTGTAAAAGTTATAGTAATCAAAAGAAACTGAAATTAAAGAAACCAACTCTTTCCCTTTGTATCTAAAAGCTGGTTTGATTCTTGGGATTGGTTTCTGTTGAAGTTTGAAAATTGAAAGTGATATTATAAAAGGTAAAGAAGGCTTGATGATGAATTGACAGTTGTAAAGAAATTAAAGAACTCAATTTCAAAATTCAAATCAAACATTTTGATTTGGATCCCTTTGTGAAACTGTATACACATTCCCGCATCACTTCTGTATTTCATCATCTTCATCATCCGCTTTAGGCAAGCTCTCCAGGCCCACTCCAACTCCTCTCTTTTTGACCGAACCACCTCTCAATCTCATCTCTCATTCCATTCTCTAACTTTGTTTCTTTATTTCTTTCCATATTCAGTACCAAATGCAACAACCTCATCAAAACACATTAGCTTTTCACTCACGCGTTCAAGACATACAAATCTTGGATCATATACTGACGAATATTTGGATACATGGGATCTACATGCGTTTACTATAGCTCTTTATAAACCCAGATCTCAATAAATCACTTGAGACAACATGAGGGTGAACATGAGCTTCAAACACGTTTCTGCAGTTCCTTCAACACAGTCTGCAGTGTAAACTCCAAACCCGACTGCATCTGCGGTGCTTTCAGAGCACCTGCTTGAAAGTATTATAGGGAGTCCGACGTGTAAGACGAGTGTTTAATAAAGATTTGAAATTTGAAAAGTATTTCAACTTGATCCCACAACGCAGTGCCAAGATGTGCATGTTGGATCATACGAGTACCGACCAGAGTCTTCAACAAACTTAACAAAGTCCCTTGCAGGCGGTAAAACCCAAAGCCTGCCTTGGGACTTGCACCAAATGTGACCTTCCTGGCGTGAGAGGTTGTGAGATTTATGTAGTACTGAGGGGAAATGAACCCAAAGAGAAAGTTTTGCTAAGCAAAAGCTTTTTTGATTGCCTCTTGAGCAATTGAAGTCCTGCCTCTTTCAGGCATGATCCTTGATTCAGATCCTTCATATTCAATGGCATCCAAAGTCTTTCTTTTCAAGTTTTACATAGTAAAAAAAGCTCTGTTCATGATCAGAATAAATCATTGACATTATTAGTACTATATAATCTACCATTTAATAAGTTTAATAAAATAAGGATCCCACTATTTTCCGCCCCTTCGGTGAATACCCGGCGCCCCCTTGTTTTGGGGCATTATCCAAAGTACCCGACACAGCCCGAGTGCACACAGCCAAAATTTTAGTGAGTCGGACCTCAGGGGCTCTTTAGGGGCTCCTTACATAATCACATTCTCACGTCTGAGCCCCTAATTGACCTTCTTTCGCCCTATTTCAGCCAATAGGGCGATAAACTCTACATGAGCCTCTCCAAAAGAGTCAAAAGGGCTCTTCTTAAGGGGAGCCTGGACCGGCCCGTGTACATGTTGGACATCCTTATAACTCCCCACTTGCCTCCCCCTTTTCCCCCTGTCTCCTTTCATACTTATCCTGAACTAATGCAATTTGATTCCAAACAATGTCATGAAAAACGGTGATTCTATCCTTATCAAATGCTCTTCATACTCTAGGTGGAATCAAGTGGGAAAACGTAGCCCAAACCCTTTACGGATGTGTCTCTACCACACCACCAGGAGCTCTCGACCCAATCGAAAGGAATCGCAGTAGTTTCAGCTATCATGTCATCTGACCAACCTCAAATAGAAGCTTGACGACTTCGACAAACGCTCGATAAGCATAACATAGCACTTGAATCTTTTTCAAGTCGTAAATCAAAATCTTCAATTCTTTCATCACAAGGATCAGAATCATACTCTGAATATTTATCATCAGTGATCTCATTCAAATGTTTACATCATTGTCGTCAACTTATTCATCATATCACCAATACAGTCATTCAAAACAATTGCGCAAATCTCACATTATCATTGAGAAATCTTACATTAGCATTAAGAAATCTTACATTAGCATTAAGACGTTCTCCAATGATGTCATCAAGTATAGAAGAAGTGGAAGAATCAGTTCAAGCCATGTCATTCCTTCAACCTCTTGTTGTTGTGTCTTGTTTCTTTTCTCATTTCAATCAATTCATGACATTCCTTTGACCTCTTTGTGGTGTCTTTAAACCCCTTTTTTCTCTCGTGTCAATTCATTCCTTTTGATTTCTTGTTGTCCATTAATTGGTTGTCTAAACCTTTGTATGCACCTGTTGTCGTAGCTTTTGTATTGATGATCATGATGGATCGTTTTATTTGTTTGTTGGAATTATGCCACCTATGCTATGTTATGCCATACCAACCATCGATGCTGCCTGTGCATCAGGCTTGTGCCCCAGCAGTTGCCTGCCTCTGCTGCAGACTGAGTAACAAAAGCAAAAAAAATGTAAGAAAACGGAGCCCCCAAGGGAGCCCTTTTTCTCGCAAGGGGCTCTAGATAGTTTGTCGCCCTCGGGTCGGTCCAAGGAGGGGCTCCAGATACTGATCCGGGGGCGGAAAATAGTGGGATCCTAAAATAATTGGATAGAGTTCAAAATGTATGGAAAATAACAAAAACTTGACATACCAAAAAAAAACTTGATGATAAAAGTTAACACTTTTAAACAA